AGGCCTCTGCACTCCAGGGAGCCTCTGATGGTGGATTAGTATTTTTCCCTGGTGCAAGAAGGGACTTTGAGAGCCCATCCCACGTGGAGGTTTACACTCTGGCCCTGGACACATTGGGAAGGGCCCAGGACCAGCACAGGAAGATTTGGTGGACTTTGAAAATGGGGATTGAGCTAAACAGAATTCATAAAATAGGAAACTCAAATGCCTGAGAAGCACTTAAAGAAATGTTCAATGCCCTTAATCATCAGCGCAGTGCATATTAAAAATACATAAATCAGGATGCTCACGTTCAATTTTAAAAGTAACAACTCATGTTGGTGAGGATGTGGAAACAGGAACACTCATCCACTGCTGGTGGGAGTGCAAATCAGTGTGGCAGTTCCCCAGAAAGATGGAAATCACTCTACCTGAAGATCCAGCTATACCACTCTTAGCCATATATTCATGTTTCATATTACCACAGAGACAATTGCTCAACCATGCTCATTGCTTTATATTGATAATAGCCACCTATTAGTAAACAACATATATGAGCATGAATGGATAAAGAAAATGTGGCACATTTACACAATGAATTATTACTCAGCCATTAAAAAATGAAATTCACAGGTGAACGGATGTAACTAGAAAAAAACAAATCATGCCGAGTGAGTAACTCAGACCCAGAAAGGAAAATATGGCATGAATTCACTCAAATGTGATAAGCAAGCTACAATCCATATAACCACAGAGCTTAGGTAGAGAGTAAGGGACTAGGATGCAGGTTGGACCTTCCCTAGGAAGGGGAAATATAAAGCTAGATATGGGTGGATGGGGTGTAGGGCGTGGAGGCTGGAATGTGGGTGCAAGGGAGAGGAAACAGAGAGGGACCAAACAAGAAGACTGCATCTACAATGGATAACATTTCCATAACTGGGCCAATAAAACTGCTCAGTGAGTGAAAGTGCATGCTACCCAGCACGGCGATCTGTGCTCAGTCCTTGAGATCTGCACGATACAGGAAGAGAACAGAGTCCTGCAAGTTGTCCTCTGATTCCCCACAAGCACACTGTGCCTTTAAGAAATATGTACATAAGGGTTGGAAAGCTAACAGGCAATACGATAGTTAATGCTGTGCACTGCTCTCTTACAGGACTCCAGTTCTGTTCCAAGAACTCAGTCCAGAAGCTCACAAATGGCAGTAATTCCAGCTCCAGGGCATCCAATGCCTCTGGCCATCTAGTGTATTTGCACTCACGAGCACACCCATACCACACACACAGACACACTCACATACACATACACCACACACACAGACACACTCACACAGAGACACACTCACAAACGCACACAGACACACACACATGCACATGCACACACACACACACACACACACACACACA